TAATTAAAGGGCTTCCAGAAGTTGATAAGATATTTGATTTCCTCTAGCTTAATGGACTTAATCTTTCCCAGGTTGCAAAAAACACATCATGTTCAATAGTTCAGGAAGAGTTTAGATTACTCTATAAAAACAAATGTGCTCTTTGAATGCTTGAATTTAGCTCACACCAAGTTTCTGATTTGACTTTCACACTAATCCTACAAGTCCAGACAGTGATACTCTGCCTGTGCAGGGCAGCACGGAGGAACACACCCAGCCAGCACAAAGCAGCCACAAAGGAGCTCTCAACGGCTTTACCTGAGGGCAAGAACGTTTTTATGATTCTGGTGGGGTGTAAACAATCTTGTAGTCAAACAACTTCTGCAGCAAGTGCCTAAACTGATCTCAGAACTATTCTATCATGCAGCAACTCATTCCCCGTGAGACTTTTATTTAATAGATTTGTACAGTAAATTAAATTCAAAGTGCTTTGGAACTGTAAAATATAACATACATCTAGGCCTGTCATGAAAATAAATTTCACTGGGCGATTAATTGTCTCAGAAATTATTGCAATAAGCAATAACATTGTTTGAAATTTGACAATAATTAGTAATTATTGTAAAATTTAAGAAGAAATATTGGTTAATTTGTTTTGAGTGTAGTACCTTTTTTGACCACCGGACGCCAATATAAGACTGTTTGAACCGAAGGATGGACGTGGAGGGAGCGAGAATCGTCTCTTTAAGAAAAATGGGAGGGAGGCCCCATGGGCTCTCTCGCCTTCCATTTTTTCAGTTTTCAACATGGCGGACGCTCTGTGTGGTTTGAGCTCTTTAGCATAGCATGCCACACAAAGCTTTTAATTTAAAAATATCAGTACGAAAGTTCTCAGCTTCTTTTTGCAGAGAAAAAAAACTTTTTACACGAAGGCACGGGTTTGAACTTTGAATTTTTGAGCTTCGACAAGATGGAAGTTTTTTTCCCCCCCGAGGTCGGCCTGTTAGCTTAGCTCGTAGCTTAGCTTCTCAGCTTAGCTGCATTTAACGATCCAAAAACGCGATTTTGGATTCAAACAGATTTTAAAGAGAAAAGAGAAAGGGAGGGGTAAGGGCACAGGAGTTGAGCCTTTTGTCATCCAGTGTCTTCAAAAAGAGACACACGAAGAAACGATAAAGCTGATAAATGAAAATGAGGTCGATAATTTTCATTTATCGTGCGATTAATTGATTTATTGTTTATCGCGACAGGCCTACATACATCACCCTCTTTATGCTTCAATGTCTGCTTAAAAGTTTTTGGAATCCTATTACTTACAGGGATAACTACAAGGAATCTGTTATACAATTTAACAAATGCACAGAAGTCATGAGTACATTGGCTAATGAAATCACTAGAAATTAGATCATCTTGGCCACAGCCCTAACTCTAAACAACAGGCCTGTTTCTTCACATGCTCAAACTCTGGCTTGTTGGGATTGTCATAAATAACTCTGGTCTGGTGAACGCTGTATTTTCCTTAGAAGGCTTGGAAAGCCACAACTGACACTGAGGGAGTAAGTGCTTACACTCCTTCGACAGTAAGACAGATACAAGAGGAAGACCATAGAACCAGTGGCAGGGAATAAAAAGAAATAATGGAGGGCAAGCAAATGTGTTGGGTGTGCATGTGTTAGCATGTATATGCATGCATGTGTGCGTGTGTGTGTGTGGGTGGGTGGCAAAGTGACAGGCGATGATTAGCCCAACCAGAGGAGGATATGTGGGAGGGAGTGCGTGGGAGTAGTGGGGCTGCTGGGAGAAAGAGTCTGTCTCTTAAGGCTATGATATACACAAGTGGATTAGAAGAGCACTCACACAGATAAATGACAAGGTTTAACCAGAGAAACAGCACACAGCCATGTAAATATAAGAGCGAGTGGACACTATCATGCACATCCAGTACAGCAGGGAAGATTTCAGTCAAAACGTACCGTCATACAAGCCATACTTTGAATGTTGTGATGATGACAACACAAAGAAAAATATCTAAGAAAGTAATTTCAATCAGCATCAAAGGTAATGTGTGCATATGTGTCAAAGCTGAGTAAAAAGAAATGAGAAATAAACTAGTTGGAGAGCAGATGCTGACTCTTAGGTGTGTAGGTGGGACCATTAGCGGTTGGTTTTTATACTTCGCCTCTGTGGCATCAACGAGCTTTAAAGAGGTACAACAAGGAGGTTTGAGTTATTCACGCACTTAGATGTTTGAGCAGGTGGAGAAATGCAAATGCCTTAGAAAGATCTGATATCTAGTTATGTCTACGATCATATGGAATTTATGATAAAAAAGAGAAATGAAGCCAATGTAACCATATTAGAGGAGGTCTGGATGAACATCAAGTTCAAGCCATTAAAAGAAATTTACATAGAAAAAACATGACTGTTTTTTTTATTTATTTTTTAAGTCTTTCAAAATAAAGGTATTTTTTGAAGAAAATTTGGAGAGTGCCAGGCAACTAATGTCCACATCTTCTTTACACTTATTCAGATATAATAAGTTGAACATTTAGAAACAGTTCAGTCAGCAATGTGCTTTTTAGGCAAAAACACATTATTTCTTATCCATTTGTGCACTCGGTCTACCGATCTCCCAAAGTGCCTAAAACGCCTGCAGATAGGCTGCTGCCACTTAAGCTGTAGTCTTGTTGACAGCTGGTAAAAAAAAAAAAAAAAAAAAACAGCTGTAACTAGAAAATTGTTAACACAAGAACTACAGATAAAAAAAGAGTGGTAATTGCATATTAAATATATAGCATGGCAAAATAACTATTTGAATCTTCAAATAGTTAAGTTTGTTGGGTATTGCAGGAAATGCACAAATTATACAGATTATGCAAACCCCAGTGTTTTGCAAAAATTCTATTTAGGAAGAAATGTAAAAACACAAGTGTATATGCAGGTAATTGTCCCTGTTGCTGTTAACAGATCTGTAAAATAGAGAGTTTGTACAAACACTCAGTCTATTTGTACCAATTATAGAACCAGATGAAATACATACTTTAAAAAGTAGAAACCTCATACTTTATGTCTTTATAATACCCACCCCTCTCCCATTACACATAGGACAAGAATGAATTTACCCCATTGCCCTTGGATTTATTATTTAATATTTGATGTATGTGTTCTGTGTTTTTGTGCTTTTTGTTGTTTATTTTGTTATTGATAAACAATAAAAAATAAACTTCAAATATAGACATGCTATCTATCAGATAAATCAATAACCACGACACAAGTTATCAATCATGTGACAGGTAAGTAATGGAAGCCTCGGTGGAAACTCAAAGGTTTTCATACATTGTCCTGAAATGTAAAATATATTTATTTAAACCCCTAATATCCTCTTAAAGGGTGAATTATCATTTGGATTTCCCCAATAATTCACAAAGCAAAATTAGGAGGAAATCTTGGAGCACATTTTGTGGTTTAATGAGTTAGATTGATGGTGTCTTCTCTGATCTGTGGATATCTCTGAGCTCTGACTGCTCTGCTGTCGGTCAAACAGGAAACTATGAGCTCTGGGTCTTCACCGAGCCCGTGAGTCCATGTGAGGCCAGGATAATACAGCTCATATCAGGGTGGAGGCTGCAAAATGTTGCAGTTGCTGGAAAATAAAATACCAAGTCTTCTGGGAATCACAGTGGCATGTAGGGCACCGTTAGGTGTTGCCAACACACTGTACAAAAGAAAAACAATGAACAGTATAAGATAACATTGTACATCACAACATTCCTTTAACATTGAAAAAAAAAAACAGCTCCGTTTAAAAACTGTCTTTAAATGCCTTGATTGTCTTCTGGTCTTCCATCCTTGTACGTCTCCACATGATAACTAAGAACATTTGCATAATGACAGCATAGTGGCTCATTTGGCACAATTTAAAAAAGGCTGCCGCCTCACACTTAACTATTTCTGACAAATCAGAGCAGGAAGAGTCTTGAGCAGAAAAGAAAAAAAATGTGATTGTGTTTCCAATGCAATACATTTTTATTTTCCTGCACAAGCTGGTTACAAAATAACAATAAAGGCTGATACAACGATTGCCAAACTGACCAGTTTCATTTCTCTTAAGTGTGGGAGTCAACACAAATCTGAGCACACAGAAATGTATCAGTGGTATTCACATTACACAACACCCTAAACTTTGGAATCAAGAGGAAAACCTTACAGATGCAGAGAGACGGGGAGGCTGAGCCTCACACTGAATAAAACATGATGCGAACACTTTCATGTCAGTCCCTGTTGGCTGGGCAAAGGAATCCCAAAGTGGATCACTGCTCCCATGAAACAAAGACTCTGTCAAATCAACGGCAACTTCTATGCAGATCAAACAGGTAAAAGAACAATCAGTGCATAGAGAATCAGTATAAACCCAAGACAATTTCCAACGGGTTGTGGACAAGAGCAGATACAGAGACGGCAGTCACCAAGTCACCAAGTCATCATTGCTCACTACGAAACTGTGAGGTGTTACCTCTCAAAACGACCTGCACGTTTGTAGCCAGAACACAAACACCCAGATAAGACATGGTATGCACACATTCAATATGGTGTAACAAACCTTACCAAACTGTTTTTAATATCTTCACCTTGGATGAAAGCATCATATCTACACTGTTGTAAATACATTATGCTCTGCCTCCTTAATAATTGTTAATCTTGTGGATTATTTTCTTTCAGCAGGAGGACTATACAATTGAAACATATCCTTCCTTCCATAAACAATCGAACCGCAAAATTCTTTAGGACCGAAATAGTTCTGAAAAACTAATAAAAATGACTCCCCTTGTATCAACACACATTTTATTCTAAATGCCACAATTTAGCATTAGATAACACATGTTTGATCATTTGTGTGTATATGGACATAAAGAAGCCATGATTCTGTAGATCTAGGAGAAGTTTACCCAGATCAAATGAGAGGTTGAAGGTTAAAAGGTTGAAGAAATGTTGAGTTTATCTAAGAAATAATAGTCACTTACCCAAATCTTTGGATCCTTGACTTTCACTGGCCAGTTCACCCATTCTGACCAAGGCATCAAAGTAGCCTTTTGCAGCAAATGTCACATCTAAAAAGGGAAAAGAGCAAGGTTGCAATTAAGTTGAAGTTTACAGATTTTTTATTTTTATTTTCTTTTACATTTCAAAAAACAATAATGCATTAAATTTATGGGGTCTACACAATGTATTAATCTCCTTGGATGTTTATGCTTTTATAGCCATCATAAATTAATCATAGAGAATAAAATTTGGTCTACGTAAAAGAAAAAGAAAAATAATTTAAAAAAAAATGTCAAATGGAAAATCAAATTTCCACAGTGTAATACCACTTTAAAAAAAAAAAATGTGTAATGTAAAATAAGTGATTGCATATATACAGTACACCCCTTTTAAAGTAACTCTCCTGATTGAACTCAGAGAAAAGGGTAAGAAAAGTAAGTCAGGGAAGGATACTAAAGGATTTCCAAAGCCCTAAACATCCTCTGTTAAACCCATCTTCCAGAAAAGGAAGGAATATGGGGCATGTGTAAATCTACCATGAGCAGGTCGTTCTAACAACTGAGTGACCGAGAAACAAGAACAGATACCTGTGACCCCTATGAAGGTGAAATGTGAGCAACTGTGTGTACAATGTTTATATATGGGGGAGGCAGACACAATAAATCTCAAATAGTTTGTCTAGGTTGGTTAGAGACTATACTCAAAATTTAATGAGTTTATTGTATTGACTGTGACTGGTTTACAACTGCAATAAAAGCATAAAATATTCAAGGGGGATATTTTAAGGCACTGTCTAACCACAGTCAACAGTTTATTCAGAAAAACATTTGCACAACTTGCACACAACCTTTGCTTTTCCTCACAAGCATTCAGAATAATCAATCACAGCTTCTAACCATCAGAAAACAAGGCGATATGCAAATCATCTTGATGGCATCTTGGATGCTTGATTGCATAGAGGAAATTATTTTCTAGATTAGCCGAACTTGCCAGGCAAGACAAACTTACTTCAAAAACCTTATATTAGTTGTGATTAGTTAGATTATTGTTATAAGATTATTTTATTATGCTTCCAAGGTGTGTGGGAGTATCATTTTTTTATGTATGTATATGTCCCCAACATATTTGTTCCAAACTTTTCAGTTAAAAACTGCTAATAGCTGGAGACACTTTTAATGTGTTATGTTTTAACAATGAGCAGATTTTTTTTTTTTTTTTTTGCTTAAGGTCTGTGATGTTAAAACGTCAAGAGTTGGTCTCTCATGTAAAGCTTTTCTTCCACTTGGTTCCTGTCCACTTACAGACTGATTTGAAGATTGTATTGCTTGTTTTAAGTCTTAAAAGGTCTGGCCCCGTCATATGTATGTGATCTTATTAACATCTACACTCCAGTAAGAGCACTCAGGTCTACTAACCAGTTCCTCTGAGATATCCCCAAATACAAACTGAAGTCCACAGGTGATCGGGCTTTTGCGGTTGCTGCTCCAAAATTGTGGACCAGTTTACCTGATCATTTAAAGACCACAGAGTGTTGAGGCTTTTAAATCTTTGCTCAAGACTCATCTGTTTTTCTTGGCATTTGATCCATGCAGAAAACAAGTCGGAGCTGATTTTTCTTTTAGTCGTGTGTTGCATTTTATTGTTAACTTTCTTATGTTCCCTGAGAGGCACAAAATGTTTTTATTTTTATTATTTTTTATTATTTGACTTAATTGTAAAGCAATTTGGTCAGCTTTTGCTGTTTTATGTGTTAGAGAAATAAATTGACAGACATTTTTTTCTAATTGACCAAAATGAACAAGTCCAACATATTTCTATTTGTGCTCATGAGTTTATAGAATGTTTTAAAAATTATATTTGTCAGTTTTGAGAGCTTTTTATATCTGGATAAACTGATGAACAAAGGAATTAATTAAGATAGTTTAGGTCAAAAACAAGCAAATAATGCCTGGGGCTCATTTTGATATGAAATCTTCAGGTCACAACAAATCTATATTTGTTCTTAGAAAACACTACAGTCCCTTTGAACACATAATGGTCAGTACGTTAACCACATACTATTGCCTTTTTCTTCCTTTAGATCATTTTATCCAGCTATGCGTGAAGACATTTGGGAAACACCCTGCTTGGATAGACTGGTGATTGAACAATGAATTAAGGTTTATTGACTTCTTTCAGAATTCAAACTGAAGGTGGGAGGTGGGGTCTTGGTGGATGACTGGCTATGTGGTCCATGCTGCACTGAAGGGGGGGTGGAAAATAATATTCCCTACTCACACAGATCAAAAATATACAGTGGAGCTCAAAATGCTTTTAAAGCAAACACTTAAAGGTCACCAATATCCTCATGCACGTGAAGGTTTGGGGACCCGTACACAGCCGTGTAGACACAAGCAGTTTGGCTTTAGTTCAAGAGCACACACACAATTCAACAAAAATTATGTGATGTCGATTCTAATCAGAAAACAATATCTTCCTTTTATTTTTGGACTAAATGAAGAGTCATCATGCCTAAAGAGATCAATATCCAGGTCAATCTGGATTATGCAAATCCCTACTATGCTGCCATCAGTAGTCTCAGGGTAGATGGGAGTTTCTGCCCGACTGTCAAGCAGTCATCTACCAAATCAGCCCATCTCCAGTGAATAATGGTCATTGCTTTTGTAGGTGCATTTTACAGCCATCCAGGTGACAGATGGGACCTGTGCCTGGAGACAGCTGCCAGGTGTAAGACACATTAACAACAATAGATTGACAGTGGTAGGGTAATTCTAACAGACAGATGCAGCTACTCTACAACAGAGGACATCTTCCAAGCTGACGGACAGATGCTAATGTTAGTCCCAATTACAGCTGAATCAAGTGTAAAACAGATCATGTGTTTGCTTCTTCCCCTATTGCACGAGGAACGCCAGAGAACTGAGTGCAGCATTTCAAAGCATCATGGCTGAACTCATTTTGTTTTGCCAAACAGAACGTGTGCCTGCCTCGGCATGGAAAGCGTGTACGAAGCTTCATGCGAGTTTGCACATGCGTGGCAGAGAGCTGTGTGGAATGGAAGGTGGGAGCTAAAGCAGATCTCCAAGCAGCAGGCACTTGCTTCCTTCTGATGCAGCATGTAAAATATTGTGTGCAGTTGAAGAATGGCTGAGTATATAACTTGGATCTACGTGGTTAATGCAAATAAAATGTGTGGTGAGGGGTTCACAGAGACAGATGGTGGAGATTACCAGATTTAAATGCAAGATAATTAGCAAAGGAGGGGCTTATAGCAAATCCATCACTTATCCTTCACTTTAGAGAAGTGGGAGCAGCACCTCTCTTAATTAGGGCATAAGACAATAAAAGGAAATGTTGATTAAAAAAAGAAAACTATATATTTTTTTTAAAGCAAAAAAACAAGCGTGTATGAGGTCATGATGCTTCTTATGAGTATGCTTCAGCAGAAGTATTTGAACAGCTGAAATTTAGGCCTACATGCACTTGAAACTAATATGCCTATACACAGAAGTTGCACAAAAAGCAGGAGTCATAAGTATCTCCTGGCAGTCATGAACAAATAGAAATTTAAATGGTGGTAATAGGATGACATAATCTGGGTAGTTAAAAAATGGTGGAAGGGACATTAATTCATTTAACTTTTATTTATACAGGTTAGTCTCATCGAGCCTCGAGGACTCATTTACAAGTGGGACCTGTTTTAAACAAAGAATACAGACGAGGTACAAACGACAATAGACAGTCATAAAAAAACGTAAAATGAAAAGAAAATAGAAGAAATTAAATAAAAACAGCTACATTACAAAGCCGTGTAAAATACTAAATATTATAGTATACTATACAGTAATACTACAAACTATAGAATGGTGTAAAACACTAAAAACAGGAACATGTCTGCGTTGATTTTTGCCATGAACTTAGCAGTTGTTTAAAATCCCTTAGAGAGGTCATGGTCAAGAGCTTCAGATCTTTTTGGTAGGTGTTCCAGGAAACAGGAGCTGTGTAGGAGAAGGCCCTAATGCTGAATTTGGTCCTCACTGAGGAGACGCTGCAGGTAATATGTCCTCAGAGCGCACGCTGTAGCTGCACTCACGGAGTGACATGTAGGAGGAGATGTATGAAGGCAACAGACCGAGAAGTGATTTAAAGATGAGAATGTACCAGCGACAGACTATGTGAAATTATTGATGACCAGTTAACCAGTGAATACAGGGTGCAGTGATGGGTACGGTAGTTACAGCCAGTTATGAATCTTAGCGCACCGTGATAGACAGTATCCAACATCTGCAGTGTGCTTGTAAGAGCATTCATGTAAATAATAATGTCACCATAGTCAATGAAGTGGAGGAATGTAGCAGTTACAAAGCATTCTCTAGCATTCAGAGTTGGACAGGATCTGTTTCTAAAAAAGAAATCCAGTTTTACTTTCAATTTATTTACCAAGTTTTTAACATGAAGCTTAAAAGAGTGATGCGAATTGACCAAACTTCCCAAGTATTTATAAGAATCGACAAACTCAATAGGGGCACCATTCGAAGATAAAATAGAAGTAAGGACTGCTGGGACTGACTTCCTGTTTGAAAACAACATCCCTTTGGTTTTATCCACATCTAGCACAAGTTTGAGATGGAACAAATCTGAATGGATGATGTCAAAATCAGTCTGTAAAAGTTGAAAAATCTTAGCAACTGTTTTAGCTCAACAATAAACTACTGTGTCGTTGGCATAGAAAAGTAAGGACGCATCAGGAATGATCTGACCTACATTACCTATGTAGACTGTGAAGAGGGTGTGTCCCAAGACTGAACCTTGTGGTACACCGTTGTTAACAGTTAGATAACTGGAGGAAGTACTGTTATGTTGTACACATTGCCTCCGATCTGAGAGATAATTAGAGAACCATAATAATTCTAATATTTTAAGATGTAGAATTGTTTTTCAAGCACAAAATGTCTTCATCTTGTTCAATGTTTCACCTGGCTGAGGTGGAATTTGAACCCAGGTTGTTTGGTTAGCAGGCATGCACTCATCCTCTGTGACTCACTCAAAAAGAATGCAGTCATGGTTCTTTTATAATTTTTGTATGTAAGGCATCCCTCTTGTTCACTTGCTGCATTGTCAAAACCATGACCGAGGCTACCAGAGACAGAGGAGGACCAACAAACACCTGTGCTCTCCGTGCTCATCTTGACTGAACCATGTGGAATAACAAATAACTCCTAACTGATTTATTTTCTTCTTTTTTCTTTAAACGGTTAAGTCATTATCTCAAAAATATTTAGTCAGTGATGGGAAAATGAAGCTTTTCTGAAGCACTGAAGCTTGTTTGAAAAAAGAAAAAAGGGTTCATTACTTGAAGTTTTGCGACACAGTCCTATAGGCGCGGTCTTGTGGCCCAAAGTATAAAGATCAGTTTGAAACCACAGCATGAAATGAGCCGTTTCATCCTTGTCCAACCAACTGAGCTGACAGCTGTTGGTTAAAATCCTGAGAAAATCTGATATCGGGCACATTGTGATGCTTTGAGCATTTTTTTTTTTTGTGGGTGAAAGAATAAAGTTATGGTTATTTGATGAATAAACGTTTAAAATGTGGCAAGGCACAATGACGCCCCTTTGCTCATGACTAAATCTTACCTAATTCACAACAATCCCAGTTTAGAATGACTCTTGTGCTGCAGGTTTCCTGCCTCCATAACTTTATGTAATAAACCAGTGTATGTTAACTGTGAGATCAGATTGTAACTTAAATACATGGTGTTTTTCTGAATATCTTTTTATTTCTTTCTTGGAGTTAAAGTCCTATGAACTGTTAAACTAAACACATAAAACACATCAGGCTTGCTGGCTTCATGTCTCGTCGTATGACGCTCAGTTTTTTTTTTTTTTGCAAACTACGCCATTAAACCCCACCACGAATCTGCCCAATTATTTATGCCCTCATAAACCTTTGAATCAGGTACCAAAGCAGTGATGTCACTACGACACTTTCGAAGCTTTGGACGTCATTAATCACATGATATTTGCAAACGAATCAAGCTCTGACACACAGCTTCAAAAACACTCTGTTGTTGTGTTTTATATATGCTCCAGAGCTCCAGCTTTAGACGACCCATCACTACTAAAAGTCAGATTGTTGAACACTTAACATTTATTCATTACATTAAGTTAAAATATATTAGTATTATATTAAAAACAATCTTGAATTTAGGCCTAAAAGCATTTGAAACCAATGTGCCTTCACCCTGAAGCTTCTTAAGAAACAAGAATCATAACATCATCCCCTGAAGAAGGCAAGGACTCTCTCATCTATTAAACTGATTTTTAAATGGACCTATTAGTGGTTATTTGTGTGTCTCTCTCTGTGCATGTGGCCTGCACATCAATGTCCATAACCAGGGTGATTAGTTCACTTGCTTTAGAGTCAGAATCATGACCGTGGAGGTCAAAGACTGAGGACACCTCAACTTAAAAGGTCTGCTCAAATTATGCTAACCATGACTGAACACTGTGTGAAATTTATTTTAAATCATTGTGTAAGCTAAATAAAAAAATAAACTATTGCTAATTAGTTTTAAATTTTTTGAAATGGTAAAATCATCAAGATTATCTAAAAGTCAAATCATTAAACTTTTCTCTATTACATTCAGTAATCATCTCAGTCATAAAAAGTCATACAAATTGTATTATCTAAAAGTCAAACTATTAAATATATTACACTTTAAACTTTTTTAAATACTTTAGTTTAAAAAATGACAAAGTCATAATAATAACGTATTAATATTAAAAGCCATACACAGCACAATCGCCAAAAGTCAGCCAGCATCACATGAATGAGCTTTACAATTAGAAATTATTAATCGCTTTAGTAGGACAAAGTATGCAGCACTAGCTTTGTTGCAGAAAACAATGGAAAAATAATAAAGAATAATAAAATAAAGTTGCATGTATACAGGGTTTACATGTATTAAATAGGCTGTAATGCAGAAATAGACTGTCCTGAAAAATCTGGAATACATCCAGATCTAACAAGCAACGAGTGAAGCTCTTGGCATTGCTGGTGTTGAATCATTTCTGTTATTGCACCATATGGGCAGAAGTGTGTCCTCCAAGATTTACCAAGGCTCTTGGGTTTAGCCAGTCCTGCAAGGCAGGTCTTTAATGGCTCAGTGAACCCCTACCAGTCTGCTCTCTATGCACACCAAGGCCCGGATTATTATTTGTATACAGAGAAAGAAGCATGAGATTTGAGGGGGAGGAAAATTCCTTCCATTAACAAGTTGAACTGGGGGTGGGGGGTGGATGGGTTGGGTTAGGGTTATGGTTATAGGTTGTTTTGAAACAATCTTCCTGTGGTCCTGTAATCCAGTCCAAAAGGAAATGAAAGAGCTCAAAAGAAAAATTCCATCACTGAAAGTATTTTAGATACTTTGTGTTAATCTGACTGCTGACAGTTTATCTACATTTCTGCATCAGATTAGACTTCTCCAATGTCTTTTTTTGAAAGCACCTCTATTACAACAAACAAGACGTGACAGAAGCTATGCACCACTTTATAAAGTTTGACCACTCTCCGGGAGTATGAATATTATCTTTTTGGAGTTGGACAAACAGAATAAGTAGATACCTGGAGAGAGAAAGAAAAAAAAAAACTAGTGTGCTCAGTGGAATGCGTAAACTTGGAGTGAAGCGGGAGGGGGGGTGAGGAAAAGAAAGGGCTTACTGGCAAGGGCCTTCTCGTAGTTCTTCCCCATGGCAACAAAGTTCCGTAAACAGGGGTTGAACTGCTCCATGATGGTCTGAAAAGGGAAACGCAGGGTTAGTGGACAATAGATTCACTAGTCATTGCAACAGGGTCAAGACCATAGAGGACTTGCACCCATCTACATTGATTTTCTCTTCTTCTTTCAGACACAAATAACGCTCCTTGAAGTGAGCAAAATCCATTTAATACAGAGAAGTGTGCATCCACAAGTTATAATTATCAGTGTCAGATAAACACTTGCAAATGTAATTAGCTCCTTTGACATATTTTATTCATCTTTTCTTCTTGCTGTACAATGATCTTAGAATAGCAAAGTAACAGAAGTAAATTATGTTATTATGTTAATGTGGACAAAGTCTGCGTTGATGCTGAGAATGCACAACTCTAACCCGCAATAGTTTCCTGTGCAGCTTTTCTACCGCTCCTCTTCTTCCTTTTTCCTGCACTCCTTCAGGACTTCTGCTAATTAGCGGGTCCCCAGTCAAATAGTCAAGAATAACTCAGGGACAGACAGACAACCACAACAGTGCTGCTGCAGCAGCAGTAGCTCCAACACCAACAGCATGAGAAAACTTAATAATTAATTCAGTGTTATGCCTGAATCCACACTATGGAAAAATGATATGCAATGTGCTACCAGTGGCAACTTCAAACATCCCCATTTCACAGTCGGACTTCAGAACTTTTGGATTTCCCCCCTTTTTTAAAGGTTTTTGTAAGAATGAGTGCCAAAGAGTTTAATACATTTATGCATGTTTTTGCTTGCTGTACTGTCAAGAGCTGTACTTGAAGAGGCTTAAGAGCAGCATAACCCACATACAAAACAAATACCAATGAGTCAGACAAAGGTAACTGACTTTTCTCAGTTTTCATCAACAACGACTTGCTAAAAGTAGTTTCTGTGGCTGTCTAACAGCATCTAGTTGTGCTTTAAAAAACCTGTACAACAAAAGCAGTACTAGACTACGTTGCAAAATAAGGGCACTAAGAGTAGCTAGAAAATATTTTACAAATATATTTTACACATTTATCATTTATTGTATTTATTGTACCTGATTTTATTAATAAGATGCACACAAAAAATCCCCCTCGCTCGCTCTCAAGCAAGACAGATGCTTTTACTTCCCTGTCCTGCCTTCCTCCTGCTTTTTGCTCTCGGTCTTGTGCATTGGAGCTTCTATTCACACATCTTCTGAATTGTAAATTACTGTTATGAATTTGGTCAGCTGGACTTTCTACGCAATTTATACATTTTTTTCAGTCAAGCGACAGGGTGCTGGGAACCCTCATGCCACACTGAGACGCACGCGGTTGGGTACGTCATGGATTCGTGGAGAGTGCGGAAAATGATGTGCCTTTCTGTATCTCTGGAGGATGTCGAAGATTTTTACATCATTGGATTTATGATTGCAGGGTTTCTGGCACTGGTGGATACCTATGTTATCGGCTATTAAGAAATACGTCAGCAGCAGTACGTGGCTGCGCTCCTAGGAGCAGCAGCCATGTACACTCCGCCCATCTTTTGGATGACTGTACAGAATATAATCTCACTGTACTTCGGTGCAATAATAAGGATTTAAGGATTCATGGATTCAATGTTATTTGTCATATACATCACATGTGGTACGTGTTTTGGAACAATATTGTGTACACAGAGTCCAAATTACATCCAGCGAAAATATTAAAATGTAAAAGAAAAACAGTAATAAGACCTAAGATATGAACTAAGAAAAACGCTAACTAAAAATACACTAAGCACTAGTAGTATAAAAACAAAATGCTGAACAGCAACACGAACATGAGTCTGTGTGAGCAGATGAACACAGCAACATGAAATGGATCAGAAGCAACATGATGTGGTTTTTCACAGTGATTATCCTGGTTAGAAATTCATGAGTCTAACAGCCTCAGGGTAGAAGCCGTTCCTCAGTCTAGTGGTTCTACACTTAATGCTCCTGCCTGAGGGGAATGGGGCAAAAGTGTGTGTGCTGGGTGAGTGGGGTCCTTCATGATGCAGGTGGCCCTCTTCCTGCATCTGGATGGTGGGGAGATTGACTCAAACAGATTTTTGTGCAGCCGTGAGAGCCAGTCCTTTGGATGAAGGACAAAACGTCTCGGGGGAGGGGGGGGGGGGGTTGTCCAGATGACCTGAGTGAATATTGTTTGATTTTCTACCTGGGTTATTGAGAATGAACTTTGATGCTTGTTTAAAAAAACCTGTCGGATTGGTTAAATGACAATAGTCTCTCTCTGAAAATATTTTCTGTCTGAACAACAGCATCTAATTGACCATTAACAGATAAACAAATTGTAATAGTACATAAATTACTGTCCAATTGTTTTTCCAATGTTTGTATGAATTTCAGAAACATCTAATCATGTTCAGTTATAGTTGAAGACAGTAGTGTTGAATCGCTAACATTCTGAGGTTACTGCCCTGTTTTCTCCTCAGTTATTTGGGTCAGCATGTTAAACAAAATTGGCTCACTGAAAGTCCACCCAGCAGGGTTTCAGCAGCTTTCAGGAACACATGGTTTAAAAACTACCATCATTAAAATAAATTAGCTTAATAAAAATATACAGTAGTACAGTATTATTGTTTATTGCTAAAACATATCGTTCAAATGTTTAAATAATTTATTCGAAATCAATGATAAATCAATGTCAAACATAAGTATGACAAAGTCCTACAACAGCAACCTGTATTTAAGCAGGTTTATTTATTATTTAAGCATTTCCTACATTAATATGATAAAAACATCATAGGAGAGAATCCCACTCTGTTCATGCACAGCACTTGTACGAGAGGTATCCCCGCTCTGTCTGCCTCTGGAAAGATAAAAGACATCCCCCAGGACTTCACGAGGAAATTCTTTCTCCTAATCAAGTTTTATTCTGCTTGATTCTGATGCTCCGATGTACAAAGGGACTTATTGATAAGGATAAGCTTAACAGGGAATGTGAAGCACAAAATCACATTCAAACAAATCAGTGTCAGTGTACTTATGCACACACGCACACATCTATATTAATACAAGAGTGTATAATAAAGAGTAGTGGTGTTTTAAAGTGGTGGGAGGATTACATAAAAAAGCAAGTCCCAGTGCACCATCATTACAGCACACTCTCCCACTGAAAGAGGCCAAAGGTCAATGACACGAGCCTTGTTGCCTTTCTTGTACAAACAGCCAACAAGACTTTCAGGCAAAAAAAAAGAATAAAAACCACAAAAACAGCAGTAACAATATGGAGAAAATTATTAATTCAATTACACATTTCCACACAGATGAAAACATTTTATAAGAGACAAAAGATACTTTGCATTCTCACATGGCAAGCTGTAGAAAGTGACGTCATCTCTGCCTTCATTTCCTGTCATTGTTGCTAAATTCATCATCCCAGTTCTCTTGTACTACATCGTTACCCTAATTGTGGCAGGTAATTAGGAAATAGGGCCAGGAGACACTAAAGGCTGTAAGACTTGATGAAGGGAGAAAGAGGAAGAGAAAAAAAGTTATGTAACAAGGCTCTTTAGTTGCTCTTATTTCAGATTCTTCTGCATAATCATCCAAATATATAAATTATTAAACTAAAATGAATATTTTTAGCTAGAAAGTGATCCTCACCCATCATGCCACTTCATACATGAGGACTGAATAACATCATTATTAGAGTTCAAGCATAGAAACTAAAATAAAATATCAAGCAGATAAAAAGGAGGTAGAGAAAACAATCAAAATCCGACTGACACATGTTGGTGATGTAAATTAAAAAATATGTACTATATGGACAGCAAGCTTAAAGACTGCAGGAAAAAAAGTCATCAAGAAAAACACTTTTTTTTCTTACGCCCAAATCAAATTAATTTTCCCTCAGCGTGGAATTAGCAACTGAAACAAGGTCAGTTCATCTGAACAAGATGCCAAATTCAAGTTGTGGAATAGTCATTCATCTCAGCTCAGTCTGCTCTCCCCTGTCACACACTCACACACAAACATAATGACATGCAAAGGGGGCAATTTGAAAGTAACACCAGCTGATTAGAACCAGGGGGAATCGCACGCAATAACAAGCCAAGAAGCCATCATCTGTTCTCTCACTCCCTCCTCTTTGCTCCCTTTTCTACACAGCAACACGAAGGATCAGATGAACACGAGGCTCCTAAGAAGTGAATTTGTGAAGAGCAGGTCATGTGGTGAAAGCCAACAAAGTGCAGATGAGTCTAATGAAGTAATCAGAAAGGAATGCAAAGGAAGGTGATGTGTAGGTTAAATCATGACAAGCATGCAGACAGTCCTTGTTGACAAAAGGAGCATTGTGACTTTAGAATGTGTCCAAATCAAATGAGGGTGCTATTTACTGTGTAACGAGCAAACAGTAAGGCTGAAGAGTTGGTTTACAAATTGACCTCAGCGTAGTGAGGAGCTCTGTATGAAGACCAAATACATCAGGAGGGAAGTGTCACACTTTGGCTAGACAATCCCTAAAGGGACAACTTTGAGGGAATGCACCGAGTCTTTAACATGCTCAGTGTAACAAACAGAACTAATGTGGTTCAAAATTATATAATTAAATATAAAAAATTAAACCGTTTTCAGGACGAGCAGTGCAGTTTTCGTCTTGGTCGTGGAACACTGAACCAGCTCTACACCCTCAGCAGGGTCCTGGAGGTGCGTGGGAGTTTGCCCAACCAGTCTACATGTACTTTGTGGACTTGGAGAAGGCGTTCGACCGCGTCCCTCGGGGAACCCTGTGGGGGGGGTACTCTGGGAGTATGGGGTACCGGGCCCTTTGATACGGGCTGTTAGGTCCCTGTATGACCGGTGTCAGAGCCTGGTCCGCATTGCCGGCAGTAAGTCGGGCTCGTTCCCAGTGAGAGTTGGACTCCGCCAAGGTTGCCCTTTGTCACCGATTCTGTTCATAACTTTTATGGACAGAATTTCTAGGTGCAGCCAAGGTGTTGAAGGGATCCGTTTTGGTGGCCTTAGGATCGCGTCTCTGCGTTTTGCAGATGATGTGGTCCTATTGGCTTCA